CCTATACAATTGTTGAAGAAGGGATGGAACCTAGGGTTTCTCAATCTAGGATGAATTGTTCTGAAATCTAGGTCCACTGGCTTAATGATGTCTGCAGCTAGCTTAATCGCACTTTGCAAAACTTTCTCAAAGTTGTTGTAAACTGTGCCTAGTGATCTCTCAAATCTATCCTCGGCTTGCTTAACTGACTGTGGTGCTCCAAGCATCCACAGAAATATCCCTAAAGCCTCAATCGATGTACTCTTGGTACTAGATTTTATGCCATATGACTCTACCAGTAGATCATGCAGTCGATGGAACACAATTGGGCTTATTCTAAACATGTTGTAGCAGCTGCTTCTATCTTCTAGCTTTCTCTCTACCCATTATAGTCCAATTAGCATTGGTTTCCTTCTCTTAGCCCTATTGAAGTATTTGTCATGGTGAATAGCATACAGAAGCATACCGTACATAAAATCGTTGTCATCATCCTCAAGAACAAGTCTGAAGATTTCCTCATCACTTAACTCATCAAAATTGTCCCTATCCCTTGTTGAATTACCATCTTGACACATAAATGCATCACAAAGTCTGTTACATATGCCAGTAAAAAGTGAACATGCTCACATCCCCAACTTGCATTTCTTCTAATTTGGGTGGCCCTGAAAAACATATCATTGTGAGCTAGTGTACAACTTACTACATGCAAAATAGCAAACAAGCAGTTTGGCAATTACCTTAGTGTTGTCTTCCCACCACTGATCAGTTGCATCAATAGTGCCATCAGCTCTATGGCCTAAGCCAGTGTCGTTGCGTAGCCTTTGTATGAATTGCCAATATCCCTTCAATTGCCTAATTCTATTAGCGATCTACACTCTTTTATGGACCAAATTGGTAGCTGCATAATACCTTCCTATGACCTCGTTTATCCGTCTTGTTCATAACTCCTCTCACGCAGTTACTCTTATTAATTTGGTCAACCCAAATTTCACACAGTGTTCCGGTATTTTGATCTGACCAATTTCTCCTGTCGACTCTAGCCTAATCCATGCATAGCAATAATAGGTACATACATTACGAAAACGGCAACAATCCAACACATAGCATATTTTCTGGGTTTGAAAATATACCACGACTTGAGCGTCGGAAAGATCTGTTGGATCTCGTCGTCTTCAGCTACATTGTGATTGTTGACGTCGAAGTTGTCTTCCGCAACAGCTACCGTCGTGGGTCATCGATGTCCATCGTGGCTCCTGGATCCGGCAGGCACGCCGGATGCAGATCCACGCAAGCTGCACACGCCGGTGGTCATAGGAGCCAAGAGAGGGCCACAGCCACCACCGGAGGATGACGACAAGGCGTGAGCGGCCGTGGCGCCACCTCCACCGCCACTGCGAGCCACGTAAGCCGAGGGTACGATCGCCGCTGCGGACACGAACGAGAGGGGGGCCCATGTTGCCGCCGATGCCTCCACCTTCCGGGCCGGAGCGAAGGAGGCCCTCATAGCCCGGCATTCCGGGCCACCCTTTACCATGGGAGTTGAGGTCGAGCACCGCCATGACCACCCGGGGAGCATTGACGCTGCTCGAGCCCAAAAAGGGATATGCCGCGTCGTTGAAGATGTCGTAGCCGCCGGTGGGGGAATACGAATCAGGTTGCGACAGGAAGTCCCTGGTGCGGTCGCCGTTGCCGTAGCCGTCGCCATCGCCGTGGCCTTAGTCGTCGCCGTTGAAGCCGTCCATCTGCGAGGCTTGGATTTGGATCTGGCGGCCGGGGAGGATGAGTGAGAGCTGGGGGCCAGCGAGGAGGAGCTGGATCTGATCGGCCACGGAGGATGAGAGCGACAGTGGGCGAGAGCGAGAGAGGCAGGTGGAGCTAGGGTTTACGCGGAGGGAGAGAGCGAGAGCGGTGGGGAGTGAGGTGCGGGGGAATGGATAGAACCTGAGCGACGGGGTGGGTGGGTAGTGGGCGTCCAGCTCACCCCCGACCCCCGTGTTTTTGCCCAGTTTGGGCATATTGGCTCCCAAATGCCAAAAGTTTTGCAGCCCAAGTTTTACTGATTTTTGTCCTATGGTGTTTAGATTCATTTTGTCAAAAGATAAAATAAAACAATAAAAGTTTTAGCAAAAGTGGGGAACTCAACCGGCCCTAAGGCTAAACCATCCTGCAGTGAAACGCGTGGTAACTTGCTACGGTGAAGCCTTGCACAATAGTCCTCACCGATAATCGTGGCGCTGTCTACTGTAGCAAACACCTTTTTTTTTAAAAGATCTTCCTTACCTATCAGGTGAGAAGCGTTGCACAATAATCCCCAACGATAATCGTGCCACTGCCTACTGTAGCGAACACCTTTTTTTTTGCTCCTGCTTACGTGTCAGCTTAACAACTAGCATGTTCGACACTTAGTTTAGATAATAGTACGAACAAATCTTCTACATGGTACAACAATTAAACATTACATTTTCTTATGCTATTTACACTTAAAAGTTAGAGAGAAGCCATCCCGCATCTAAACGTGGGATAGTTTGGTACATTGCAGCATGCGACAATAATACCATATCGGTTATTTCAGATTTACGGCCGGTTCGCTGGTTGGTTTTTGAGCTGATAAGTCCCGGCTGGTGCTGGTTTGTTGTGAGAGAAAAACATTATTGACTGGCTGATAAGCCTGGCTGAAACCAACAAGTGAACAGGCTATTAGGCTACTTCTCATGTTCTCACCTAAATGTATACAACTATAATTTCTAAACTGTTTATTTCCTTCTTTTAATAAAGCTCAGTAGGGGTGCAAACCCCTCCCGTTTCCAAAAAAAAAACAATAGATGTCCCGTGGGAGCGTCCGCCCGCGCGGGGGTGGGGGTGTGCTACTAGTTTAAGTACGAATAATGTAGGTTTGACACACATATCAAGAAGAGACTCCTTTTGCCTCAAAATATTTGATGTTTTAGATTTAGGCACGGGAATTTATGAAGAATGAAAAATTATGGTGTACAGAAAACAAAAGGAAAAGAGATAGAAAGAAATAGAGATATATTGGGAAAACTCTCTCCAACCGAAAAATATTTGACGTTTTATATTTGGACACAGAAATTTATGAAGAGTCAAAATCTGTGGTGCGCGGAAAACAGGAAGGAGATAGAGAGAAATAGAGATAGAGATACTGATGTATTGGAAAAAATATGTATTGAAAGAAATAGAGATAGAAATGTATTGATAAAAAGAAAAAAAAAGTATATTGAAAAAGAAGAAAAAAGGTACATTGAGAAATGAAAATCTCAAATATTTTGGAACGATTAAATTCTATAAGATCTTCTATCTTGGGATGAAGGGAGCATATATATTTTCATAGCTCCATCTGTCCACCTTCTCGATGTGTTTAGGCAAAGCTGATTAGGCATGGAGATCTCAGCTATCATGTCCCTTTTATGCTGCCTGCTGTGGATGAATCCAAGTAAAATACTAGCATGTGACGAGTGTATAAATAAATTTCACGAGCAACGACTCAGATGTTCTTTTGGTCCAGGTTCAAATAATCTAGAACCATTGTTTTCTTTCCTCGGTCTTTAGATCCCATGTTTCTGCCCGTAAAAGTGACTGACATCGTTTGTCAACAGGACCAGGAGGTTTTGAACAAGCGAACCTTCTAATTCTAATTAGAACATATAGGAGTAGGAGTACAGAGCACTACGTACGTACGTAACTGCGGAGAGCAAAACAAAAAAAAAGGGTTCTTGTTCTACGCGTCCATGCCTTTGTGGAATGGAAGACTGGACAGCGGCCACTGGTGCAGTAAAGTTGACCATGCATGCTGAAACGTCAGGCTCGGTATATACTCGCATACACTTTTTTTTTTTTGGCAACATATTCGCATGCACTTGAATAATTGAATTATTCCTCTCATCTCATCAGAAAAGACAACATATTCGGATGAACTTGAATAATTGAATTATTCCTCTCATCTCAGCATCATAAAAACAAGAGCAGAAAACGACCGTGACGAAAGAAACGTGCAGCGACGCCGCCAACGAACGCTGTCGTGTCGAGGAAAACGAAGGGCAAGCAAGGGCTAGACCGCGAAAGCATTCAAAACAGAGGCCCAGGTCCCCGGTTTCTGACGTCGCTGGTTTTGCCGTTCGGCGCCGCCCACGCCCACGGTCGGCGACTCGCCGTGGGGCCGTGCGCTGCTGACTGCTGTGCCGGCTGCCGCCGTGCCGCGGCATATGCTGGTTTCTCCCAGGAATCATCCCTCGCACCCCCATCATCATCCGCGCTCGCACGCATCGAGAAGGCGGGCGAGTGCGAATCCCACTGGCCACTACAACTAGTACGTGAACAATTTAAATTCCAAATAGTAAAAATATATTTTAAGATGCATCTAATGATATTTATTAGTGCTGTTTGGAAAAGAAAACTTACATGGTTTGATTTATATTACTGTAACTGAAAATGTATTCTTTCTAAACTAAAAAGATGTACTCTTTTTTTTGAGAATCTATATATATCTAAACTAAAAATGTATTCTTTCTGACGAGAGTGACACTTTCTATTGCAAAACTTCTTCTCCAAGAAGACCATTTCTAGTTTTACTATTGGATTAATGGATTGGAAACAACAAACAAGTCTCGCTCGCATCATCATATAGCCAGTGGACGCAGGAGCCACTGACTGGTAGGCCCGCCATGCTCTCTTGGCCTCTTCATGCCAGTGGGACCATCGCTCCCACTCGAAAGGGGAAGAATTTTTTTTCCAAATTCAGTGGGCACCACGTGTCCGGCGACTCATCCCCCTGCCCGGTGCCTACGCCTTCCATCTCCGCTCGTCGTCCTCTTCGCCCACGGAATCGCAATTCCCCACACTCCTCCCTCCTTTTCTATAAAACTCCGCACCAAATCTCGAATCCCATCTCGCTGCTTTCCGCCGCTCGACCCCGACCCCGACCCCGACGCCGACGCCACCACTTCCCCCCATTCCCCTTCCCAGACCGCGGAGCAGAGAGGGAGAGAGATCCGGAGCGGCGCGCGATGGCGAACATCGACATGGCGAAGATTCTGGCGGACCTGGACCGCGGCGCCGGCGACGCGCGGGTGCCCAAGACCAAGCTCGTCTGCACGCTCGGCCCGGCGTCCCGCACCGTGCCCATGCTCGAGAAGCTGCTCCGCGCCGGCATGAACGTTGCGCGCTTCAACTTCTCCCACGGCACCCACGAGTACCACCAGGAGACTCTCGACAACCTCCGCCAGGCCATGCACAACACCGGCATCCTCTGCGCCGTCATGCTTGACACCAAGGTCTCCCTCTCTCTGTCTTCTGTGTGTCATGGATGTGCTTGCTCTGCTGCCGTTACCTGCTTTAGCTGCATGTTTGGGTTGGCTATGCTTGCCGATTGGTTGGATCGGGGCTGACGGGGACTGTTTTTGTTTGCCGCTGGAGGGATCTAGTGATCTGTTCAGTGGGACGAGCTAGAGTGATCTTTTCGGGGCTGACGGGGACTGTTTTTATCTCAATATATGGTTTCCACTCACGGCACTCAGGGAGCTTGGTATCATCTCAATATGGTTTCCACTCAGGGAGCTTGGTATTTTGATCTCATTGGTTTTTTGGTAGAAGGTTTAGATCTTAACTTAATTACTGCATGCTACATATACACAGTATATGATTAACGCGTGTAATAGTACCAAAACTAATGCGTGCAAGTAGCTTTTTCCTTAAATAACATGTGCTGACTTTTGGCAGTTTGACATATCGTGCCAAGGGATTTGCATGCGGCTCTATACTGGCCCTCTTGCAAAGAGCTGCTGTTTGTGCCTTGAATACTCCATATAGAATAGAAGCTGCACGTCTTGTTGGTTGAAGCTAGTTTCAGATTTTGTCTGCTTGTTGTTCACGTTACTGCAAGTCTGGAATGTTTTTGGACTTAAATGGTTTGATTGACTGCTTCCTATGGAGTTCATCTGCATCGAGCTTCCAAGGTCTTTATTCCTTGATTTATTGACAGTTGCTGCTACTTTAGTCAATATATGTTGTTGGTTATCGTGTTTGTGAAAAGGAAACGATACTCCATGTTGGTTAAAGTTAGTTTCAGATTTTGTACATTAGCACTTTGGGTTGTATGTTTAGCTTTAACTACCCAGAGTGTACTGCAAAGTTGGTGGATGTCGAGTACTCCTACTTTAGCTGCTGTGGAAGTTAGGTTTTAAGAAATCAATTCCTTCACTAGACTTGAAGATTGGCAAATTGTAAGCCAAAATATTTTTCTTGGACATCGCCGTTTTGAGCTCAGTGGTTTCAGTATTTAGACATTTATCTTGACCAAAATGAATGCTACATATATGATTAACACCTGTGATTACATTAGTTGCTTTCTTATGTAATGGGATACTGATTTGTGACGTGACACAATAGTGCCAAGGATTAGATTTGCCTATGGCTCTATATTTGCCTTGTTGCCATTGTTCACTCTTGTGTCAACAATTCTCCATGTGAATGGTTGAATTCAGTTCCAAATTTGTTATGTTTTGTTTAGATTACTTCTGCCACTTCTGGTTATGGTTCTGCGTTTAATGGTCCAGGGATTAATCATTAATGTATTACTTCTGGTTTTGGATTTGGAATGGTTTGGTTGTCTCTGAGTCTGAGGTTGCAATGCCAAAGCATTCAGCCTCCCCAGATATTCAGGGTCAGTCAATTTTCAATTGATGTTTCATTTTCTTGACACAAGAGCTGATCAATAAAGGAACATCTAGGGGTCTTTATTCCTTAATTTCTTGTCAGTTGCCACTAAATTGCTACCTCTTCATTTTCTTATGTTTCAATTCATGGTTCGCATGGTCATATTTGTTGGTTTGGCTTCATCATTAAAATTGAGTACATATATATTATACCTGCTCTTTGCTGCTTATGTAGTTATGTGTCACTCCATGATATTTTGCAAAACTTCTGACTGTATTCTTCTTTGTATGGCATTTAAGTTGGTTATATGAAGTGTTCTTAACCAACCTTTTGTTGCTGCAGGGTCCTGAGATTCGTACAGGGTTTTTGAAGGATGGTAAACCAATTAAGCTAACCAAGGGTCAAGAAATCACTGTCACCACTGATTATGATATCAAGGGTGATGAAAATATGATTGCTATGAGTTACAAGAAACTGCCTGTTGACGTGAAGCCTGGAAATGTCATACTCTGCGCAGATGGTACTATCTCTCTGGCCGTTCTGTCTTGCGATCCTGATGCTGGAACTGTGAGGTGTAGGTGTGAGAACACTGCAATGCTTGGTGAGAGAAAGAACTGCAATTTGCCAGGAATTGTTGTGGATCTTCCTACATTGACTGAGAAAGATAAAGAAGACATTTTGGGCTGGGGTGTTCCAAATGATATTGACATGATTGCCCTATCCTTTGTCCGTAAAGGATCAGATTTGGTGACTGTCAGACAGGTTCTTGGGCAGCATGCCAAGCGCATTAAGTTGATGTCAAAGGTTTGTATATACTATCACTGTCTTACTTCAAAGGGTTATATCAGCTATTTCTCTGTCCATAATTTTGCACGACATGATTTGCTTGCATCTCTCGTATGAAACCTTCTCATCTTAGTTTTACTGTAAACAACTTGATGACCAGTTTTTGCCATGTTATGTTATTTATCAGTAACATATGAAAGTAGTATGTTGAGTACTCTTTTACCAACTAGGATATAGTGCTTGCCCAGGCTACGACTTCACAAGAATTTTTACTCAACAGTTGGTTAGCGAAATGCAATTCTGTTACTTTTACTCTACGTTTCCACCTGTTAGGTTGTTTTACTCCTAGCCGAATTCTCCGAAATACTGGATAATTCCTTTATGGTTCAGACTAGTTCATGTCATATATTTGCTTTTTCACTGCAATGTCTGGAATCGGTTTCCTGCTATAGTGTTGTTCATATTACATGATGATAATGGACATTTAGAGCTTAGGATCATGTTAGTTATGCTGTCATGGATCTGATTTCTTTCATGATATGGTTCTGCTATGCAGGTTGAAAACCAAGAGGGTGTTGTAAACTTTGATGAGATCTTGAGGGAGACTGATGCTTTTATGGTTGCTAGAGGTGATCTGGGAATGGAGATTCCAGTTGAGAAGATTTTCCTTGCGCAGAAGATGATGATCTACAAGTGCAACATTGCTGGCAAACCTGTTGTTACTGCTACCCAGATGCTCGAGTCAATGATCAAATCTCCTAGGCCAACACGTGCTGAGGCCACTGATGTTGCAAATGCCGTTCTTGATGGAACTGACTGTGTCATGCTCAGTGGTGAGAGTGCTGCTGGAGCCTACCCCGAGGTGGCTGTGAAGATCATGGCTCGTATCTGCATTGAGGCAGAATCTTCCCTGGACCACGAGGGAGTTTTCAAGGCGATGATCAGGTCCGCGCCTCTTCCAATGAGCCCTCTGGAGTCTCTTGCATCATCTGCTGTGCGAACTGCCAACAAGGCCAAGGCCGCACTGATCGTCGTCTTGACTCGCGGTGGCACCACGGCCAAGCTGGTCGCCAAGTACCGCCCCAGGGTTCCCATCCTCTCTGTTGTCGTACCCGTGCTAACGACGGATTCTTTCGACTGGACCATCAGCTCCGAGGGCCCAGCTAGGCACAGCCTGATCTACAGAGGTCTCATTCCCCTCCTTGCCGAGGGCTCTGCAAAGGCTACAGATTCAGAGTCGACGGAGGTGATCTTGGAGGCCGCGCTGAAGTCGGCTGTGCAGAAGCAGCTTTGCAAGCCTGGTGATTCCATCGTGGCTCTTCACCGTATCGGCGTTGCCTCTGTCATCAAGATCTGCATCGTGAAGTGATCACCATGACTTGACTCCTAAGTCCCCAGGGTGGTTCTCACCGCTGGGATCCATGTTTCTGCCTCCTTTTTACTGCATTTTTCGGGGACAGATAATTATGTTGTAAGCCTGCGTCTGTTCTTTGCAGTTGCAGGATGTTTTTTGTTCACATAGTTTTTGAGCTGGTAAATGAGGAGGGAGAGGACTCCATTGATGTTAGTGGTAATAAGATTTGTATCTACGGAGTTCAGTTAAAAGGCTTTTTCATAAAAATGGTGGAACGTGCTGTATGTCGGTCCATGCCCGTATTTTAGTGTAAACATACAAACATTATGTTCTTTTATAACTGTTCCTGGGGATAGCAAATCTTGCAAAAATACGTAGTAGAGATACAAACTGAGAGCTACACCAGTCTGTCAAAAAAAGATGCAATTTTAAGTCAAATGATTAGAAGTTTGATTAAGTTTATATAAAGAGATACTAATATTTATTATATTAAATATGTATCATTAAATTTGTTATGAAATATTTTTATAGTATATCTACTTAGATTTGTTATGAAATAATTTTATAGTATATCTATTTGGAGTCATGCATATTGATAATTATAGTTAAACATAAAGATAGTTTGGTTTGGACTGGAGCTAAATTGCATCTTTGGACGGAGATCGCAATTTAGGTGAAGTGTTTTTTCTTTCACAATAAATCAACGAAAAGTATTGTCAGCCTGGCTTTTCATAACTGGGCCAGTAACACGCTTCTTTTTATTAAAAGAACAGATATTAGTTGCTTTTACATGAAATCCATTTCACCGATGACTTGAAGGGACAGGAACGTGGAACGAACTTTGCTGGCAAGTGACCGTGGACGGATAGGTTTAGGTTCGCGGCGTGTGCACGGTTCCTCACTTCACTGGACGTCCGACACCGGCGGGGAATGCACGCGTAGGCGTAGCCATCCGTCCACGGAAAGGGAAAGAGATGCATCCGTGTCCGGCGGCCACCAGGGATGGGTCTCTTTGATCGCCTCCTCCTCGGCGGCGATCGCAGCAGGGGGAAGGAGGACCAGGAGCGCGGTGGCGGCGCCGATACGGCCGCCATGGGGTCAGACGTGCCGCCACCGTCCGCCATCCCTCCCCTCTCGGCCGCTGCTGCCTCTGTAGTCTGCCGATGCGCCCGGTCCGTCCATCCCGACATTGCGCGTTTCTTTTTCCGTTCACCGTGATAGACAGACACAACATTGCATCTCATCGCATTACATTCTGCGTGACCGTGGCAGGATCGCGGGCGTGCCGGTGGATCAGCTGCTCCGGCGGCTGGACGCGGAGGAGCAGGCCGGCGGGCCGCTGGAGTACGCCAGGAGCGTCGTGGAGTACTGCTCCCACGTCGCCCTGCGCGTGGAGGCCAGGCGCCCGGACCACCTCGGCGACAGGGAGTTCCACACGCTCACCTATGATATGATGCTCGCCTGGGAGGCGCCCGACGAGGAGACCGACGCCGTGTTCGAGGTCAGATCGGCTCTTGTCTTCTCCCTGTTAGAACAAACAGACCATGTAGATACTGAATCAGGATTCATTGGTTTTCTCACGACGCAGAAAACGGCATTCAGCGTTCTCCGTGACGACGCGGACGACGACGACGGTGCATCCATTTTCTATTCAAGCCCAACGCAGATGGCAATTCAGGTCTCCCGGTTGTTTCTCCTGTATATGACTGTGTTCTTGATCAAGCCCTTCCATCAGATGATTCCTTCGCGTTGCCTGATCTTGATCTTGCGTGATATCAATGGCTAGGTTGATGGCAGGAGGACGGTTGGACCCGAGGCATTTACCAAGATTGCTCCTGCCTGCCCTGCCATGGCACACCCCATCACCGTCCGTAACCTATTTGACGCGCTCACCAACTCCACCGGAGGACGGCTGCATTTCCTTATCTACCACAAGTATCTCAGAAGCTTAGACGAGTACGTATATATACGCATCGATCCATCCTCACCATGTTCACATTGTTGTAAGCTATCACATTCTTCTGAATTACGAGCATCACTCACTGTATGTCAGTATCATCTCTGACGCTAGGGCGTTCTGCTCCGCAAAACGTATGTTAGGGGGGCACAAAGCTCCTGCCCTGCAGCTCTCTGCTGATGAGGTGATCCTTGACATCCACGGGGCTGCGACAACCAAGCCAGTTCTTCAGCACATCGGGACGTCCACATGGCCTGGTTAAGCACCCTCCTTATGGTAATTTTGATCAGCGCTGCTGACCTGTGCTTCTTCACGAGGTTCTTAATGTGTATGGACTACACATTCTGCAGGGAGGCTCACACTGACGAATCACGCACTCTACTTTGAGGCTATTGGTGTTGATTTCTCATACGGCGAGGCTGTTGTGTATGATCTGGCAAGGGACTTGAAACAATCAGTAAAACGTGAGTCCACTGGGCCATGGGGTGCTCACCTCTTTGACAAGGCTGTCATGTACAAGTCCAGCCTGACGTGAGTAGCTGCACCGCAATACATTATTATACTAAGAAAAGGAAATCCTTTTATCATACTTGTAATGTGCACATATTAGACTAACTAACGTATGTTTACTGCCGACAGAAGTGAACCCATCTTCTTTGAATTCCCACAATTGAAAGGCCACACTCGCCGAGACTACTGGTTTGCAGCCATCAAAGAGGTGCTGCACGCACACAAGTTCATCAGGAAGTACAGGCTTGGTAGTTTCCAGAAGGCGGAGGCGCTCTCCATCGCAACATTAGGGATTTTGCGGTACCGCACTGTGAAACAGGGATTCAACATACTACCAGCACATTTCAAGACCATCCTTGCCTTCAACTTGGCAGAGAAATTGCCGAAAGGGGACAAGATTTTGGAGGCATTGTATGGCCAGCTCAAGCAGCATTGCCCAAGATTCAGAGGAAGCCAGGATTTTGGTCAGAGCAGTTCTGATGAATTGATGCGTGCTGACCCCTTCCCACTTTCTGCATATACCATGGTGACAATGGGTTTGCTAAAACTGAAAGAGGAGGACACCGCTGAGGAGAGGGATTTCACTGTGCGAGACGTGCAGATTGGAGGAACTAGCTCAGTTCAGATGGCTCTAGAGCGATCGGTTGGGTATTCAGGTAGAGTGGAAGCGGCAAGGGCTACGCTTGATCAGGTCAAAGTGGAAGACATAGACACTAATGTAGCTGTTCTAAAGGTATTGTTTTTTGCTCTAAAAAAGTTCATTATCTTGCATAGAATTTAATTCAGGTAAATCTGAAACTAAAACTATGTCGTGTGGCAGAATCTAAACTTTTATTGAATTACTGTACTAAATAGTAGGGCATATTTCAGGCTTTCAGCATATGTCATCCAGGTAGCTCATAATCTAAGCTTATTTAAGGATTATTAATGTAATAACACTGATTAACTCCTTCCAGGAACTACTATTTCCTTTGATTGAAATAGGCAAAAGGTTGCTCACTTTGGCCGGGTGGGAAGAGCCCTTTAAATCTTTTGTCTTCTTGTTATGTTTCCTCTACATGGCATACAGGTATTGTTATAATCTACAATACCTTCAAGTTATTTATCACAAATTTTGGTTAGAAAAAAGGTCTTTGTGCAAGTAGCTAAAGTTGCCTGTTTTTTAGTAATCCATAAGTCGTTGTCGTCCTTTACTGCAGTGGTTGGATCTGGTTCATGTTTCCTGGATTTTTGCTTGGTTCTACTCTCTTCATGCTATGGAACAAACATTACGGGAATGGGCGCTCGGTAGAAGCATTTGAGATCATAACTCCTCCTCGAAGAAGAACCGTGGAACAACTCCTAGCTCTGCAACAGGCCATCTCGCAGCTGGAAGCACACGTGCAAACAGGGAACATTTTTCTCCTCAAGCTCCGGTCCCTCATGCTTGCAGCATTTCCTCAGGTGTCTCTTGATCTCTTCTGTTATGTAGCCATATTGTTTGAAACATTGCCATCCTGACCAGTGAAATTTGTTGCTTGAATTCAGAGCACCAACAGAGTTGCAGCTGCATTGGTCGTTGTGGCCACGATATTCACATTCATGCCATTGAGAACCATTGTTCTACTGATTCTTCTGGAGGCATACACAAGACAGATGCCATTGAGGAAGAAGAGTAGTGAAAAGTTGGTGAGAAGGTTAAGGGAGTGGTGGCTCCGGATTCCACTTGCGCCTGTACAACTTCTAAAGCCTCGGGACACTAGGAGATGGAGATCGAGATTGAGATAAGATAAGCAAGTCAAAAAATGTTGATTTGATTGCTTTACGCCATGCTCCATGCACATTCTTTTGAGCGGTAGAGATATTGGTATCATGCCGTCAAGACAAGTGTTTAAATGAAAGAAATACCTTGGTGTAAGCTAGGCCTGATTTTAACAAGTGGAAATAGATGAAGAACCATGCATTATTCATTGTAGCAAACATATATAGTTTTTCCTGGTATGACCAGTACAGATTAGGGAAAGGAAGTGTCAGATTTTTACAAATGTAACCCAGTAGACAACAATTGTAGCATTAATCCTAAAACACAATCAAACGTATTGAAATCTGACAGATTTAGTATAAAAAACATCTGTCAACAGATAAATAGCAAAAGTCTTAGGGAAAAGAATAGATGAAAGAATTAAATCTTATGTCATGACCTGTTTGTCGGTTGCAAGTTGCAATTGATCTCTGAAGCTGTGATATATTAACATCTTCATGCCAAACCACTTTAGTTAGAATCGAGGATGTCGAGATCATATCTACTTTATTTTATATATTAATTGACTACACTTTTAGAACAACATCTGTTTAAGATACAAAGTAGTCCCAGCATGAGTAGTGAAATACTATTCATGTGAAATATGGTCGATTCAATCGGTCAAACTTTGTCAGTTTGTTTGCAAAAGATACTATAATATACACTTTGATTTGTCCTAACAAACGACCTAAATTTGAAGTCAAAGGGAGCACATGATGCCCGGCCCCGGCTGCAATCCAATGCAAGATATACCCGGAGCAGGACATTGCCAATGACTCCGTTCGCTTCGCTGAAAAAATGATGAGAGAAAAATATTGTTCCAACTGGAAAAATAAAAATAAACTGAAAAGTACGGATTATAAAAGAAGCGAACATGGCCAATGAGGTAATGAATGACCCGTCAACTGCCCGCTCTCTCTCTGTTTGTGCAAGCTGGGGCCCACATCACCCAAGTGTTTAACATTTCTTTGAGAAGCGAAGTTGGGGTCAAGGCAGGCCGGCTCAGTTTAAACTCAGTTTAAGCTAAGTTTAGTAGTAGTAACACGTAATTATTACTAGTTGGGTGAATGCAGCAAGGCAGGAAGGCGCGTGCCGTGCAAATATGAAATGGGGAAAGTTTGCGGGCAACCGTTGATCACGTCAGTACGTCACGGATGATTAAAGCTTTGGGCTTCCGGATGCAGCCCGGCCCTCTGAATGTTCAACGCATCAACAACAACAACCCGCCAGTGGTCAAATGAAGCATGCTTGCTTGCTTGCCTGCAGGGATTAGGCATCTTCCGTGCAGTGCAATTAGTTATATTATATATATTCACCTTCTCTGCCGTACGTGACACGACAGGGTTGAGCTCGGCATGGCGGCGACACGCCTAAATTTTCAGCGAGAATAATATTTTTCTCACACACTAAATTAGTCAACAGTAATAATCCACGATCGTATACGAGCCCCAGCCGAACAGGCTGACGGCCGGGGATCGCTGTCGCCACACCGACCGTCCGTTCATTCAGGCCGACGACACGGCGATGCTCTGAAATCTGAACGGTACGTCTGTACATGCTCCTGGTGGTCTCATGCCGACGGTGACTCTTCCGTATCATGCCCCGCGGCGAACCGGCGATCTCAAGCCTGAGCTTGGACTTTCGTGCACGACCTTTTGCTACTGCCTAAAGTACGGCACGATAAATTTTGATTCGTACCATATCTAGAATTTTGACACACGATAGGTCATGGGGCATGACACGACCTGTATCCATTGGGATGCGTACGCGTAGACCAGTGTGTCAGTACGCCTAAGCACCCGGTTCGATCGTTTCGTGACCAGTGTGTCATTTTGTTATAAGAAAAAACACAACATATAAGCAGCATGGTGATAAGCATGGTTCGAATAAGGATCGTTCGGATCGGATGGAGTCTCCGTGCACCCAAAACCGAAACCCGAAATCGAAACCCGAATCCACCCCGAAAACCGATTCGGGTGGAAATCCATCACCAAAACCAAACCCGCGGATACCCGAAACCCGAACGGATACCCGAAACCCACGGATATATATACACATATTCACATGTATAAATAAAAGGCAACAAATAATAAACATTTTTATGAGTCAACTTTAAATAAATTTAATAATCTAAGTAAACAAATTATTATTAGTATATTATAAAATATGAGTTTTAATTTCAAATAATTTATTTCGGATATCCATTGGATATCCACGGGTGGAAAACCAAACCCGATTGGTTTCGGGGCCTCGAACCCGAAAACCGTGGGTGAAAAACCATCCCCAAACCCGAACCCGTAGAACCCAAAACCCGCGGATATCCACCCCAAACCCGATCCGTTGCCATCCTTAGTCACGAAGCATGAGAAGGCCCAACTATACACGAGCCTGCAACCATTCAACACGCCGGCGGAGCCGTGAACTCACCTGCATCTACGTGCAGTGCAGACGCCGCGCAGGCGCGGGCGCAGCGCGTACCGTTGGTGGCGCGATGCGTGTCGTGTCCAACTGCGACACGACAACGGATGGCCTGACCTGATCACACGACTCACCTGCCTCCAACTGCAGCATGCTCACTAGAACGCGTAGGTGCATCCGGACGCGGGGGCGAGGAGTCAAAAACTCTCTCTCTCTCTCTCTCCCAGAAAGGCCACGAGCGTCACATGAGTGAGAACACAAAGGCATGTGATTTCTTCTTCCACGAAACACAGGGGAGAGAGAAAAGGGGAAAGCGTGGAAGTCGACACCCACGCCGACATGGCCCATGGCGCGAACAAGTCAAGGGCAGCCGTCTAGAAGCCAAGCCAGACCAACCAGACATGGCGACGACATATATAGACGACTGAGCACCGAGACGACAATAGCTTTAAGCCTTTAACTATCCAGTCCTGCAGCTGCGGCGTTCGTGCATTTCGTACAGGCAACGCCGCCACACCGGAGCCACCGGCCGGTCACCGGAGAGAAGTACAGGGCCGCGCAGCAGGTTTGAGAGCAACACGCGACAAGCATGGCAGACTACCACAGGATCCACCCGGTGACCGTGGGCTCGCCGCCGCCGCCGCAGACGCCGTCCGCGCCACCGGAGCATGGCAAGAAACCCAGCCACGACCAGCTGCTGCCGGTGACGGCCCCGGCGCCGTACGCGCCAGCACCGCTGCCCCCGCCGCGGCGCCGGCGGCGGCACAGCCGGTGCTGCCGGTGCGTGTGCTACACCTTCCTGGCCCTCGTCCTGCTCGCCGTCGCGCTCGGCGCCACCGCGGGGATCCTGTACCTCGTGTTCCGGCCCAAGATCCCGACCTTCCACGTGGACCGGCTCACCGTCACCCGCTTCGACGTGAACACCACGACGGCCACGGTCACCGACGCGTTCGACGTCGACGTGACGGCCACCAACCCGAACCGCCGCATCGGGATCTACTACGACGGCGGCGACGTCACGGCGTCCTTCAACGGCACCGTGCTGTGCCGCGGCGCCTTCCCGGCGCTGTACCAGGGCCACCGGACCACCGTGAGCCCGCACATCTCGCTCACCGGGGAGACGCGGCTCGACAGCGACGTCGCGGCGCAGCTACTGCAGCAGCAGCAGGCCGGGTTCGTGCCGCTCACCGTGCGCGCCCGCGTGCCGATACGCATCAAGTTCGGCGCCATCAGGCTGTGGAAGATGACGGGCAAGGCCAACTGCAACCTGGTGGTCGACAATATCCAGGCAGGCAAGCAGCTGAGCATCCGATCCAATACCTGCAGTTTTAAGCTTAAGATCTAGATAGATAGATACCTTAATTTTATGAATTTGGCCATATTTTGTTCAAATTGTTTGTCATGTTTCTACAGTGCATTAGTTAGTTATATCAATAAGATTACATCTCCTTGTATATGATGATGAATCCACCGGTTGAGCTCTGCCTCAACATGGGTGGTATAGAGGTGTACAATTTTGCTCCATTCTATTCGGCATGTGTGTTCATAGCTTGATTGTAATATCATTCGATGTGCATTATTTAAAAAAAAACTTGGTATGAAATTATTTATGTGTCAATAAAGCATCGTTGTTATTTGAAATATATTTATATTTGATTGTTCCCATCGGATTTCATATGATGGATTTTATCTAACGGATGCGAGTATGAGTTATGGCCGGGTTATTCGAGGGAAAAGCACTTTGCAAAAGAAAATTCTTTTAGGAAAACAGGTCATGTTTGAAACAAACACTCCCTTTTCAACTTGAGTAAACAATGGGATCTTCCATAAATTCTCTACTAAGAGCCCTTTGGAACACACAAACTTCGCAAGAATTATACAAAAATTTGAAGGAGTTTCACAGTTCTCAACCTTGGGCGCTTTCATGAAATGTAGATGATCAAACATGATAGGAAGACATCCTGAATGTGTTTCCTTCTAATGATCTGATCGAATCTGCCATGACTCAGGGTTCGTCTGTCAGAACTGCACGGACCTTAGCAACGTCAACAGGGGTAGATCCAGTGGTGCGACGAAGGGGACACGAGCCCTTCCACTCCTCAGCTAATGGCAATGTATAATTAATTTTAAGATAACTGAATTTAAGCAATTCATCAAAGATTCGATCACATTTAGAAAAATCAAAAGTAAATTTAACTTCTTCATTCCGATTTTTGTGAATCAACTAGAGAGAAGAACGACCAATTTGTTTTGCGTTGACCACACAAATTCAGCAGCATAGCATTCTTTATCTTCATCGTCCGAGCTATCAGAATAGCTTTCTACGACATGCATAGTTGAACGATGAGACCTATGGACGTCACGAGATTCTTTTAAACGAGATTCGACCGCTACAACTTTTTGACAATAATTGATTATCATTAAGAAACTCATAATGCTCAAGCTTTTCTCTAATGCTAGAACGGAAACCAGCAAAACACAAATCAGTGAGGTCTCTTTTAGAAATCATCAAATGGAAACATCGGTTCTTAATGTCTCTAAAACGTTTAACAAAATCAAGAACGGACTCATCACGCTCTTGACAAACCGATGTAAGGTGAGACAATCTAGTTTCATGGACTCCATTATAAAAGTGAGCACGGAATTTCTCTTCTAATTGAGCCCACGAGAACCAATAGAACAATGCGGTAATGAAGTAAACCATGCAAAAGCTGTACCAGTAAGAGATAAAAGAAAATGACAAACATTCATGAAATCTAAATTACTAACTTTGCCTATTTGAGTAAGAAACATGCTAATATTCTCCATAGATGATCTACTGTCATCACCACTGAATTTATAAAAATCCGGTACCCTCCGACCATCAGGTGCTTTCATGAAATCAAAATGTGAAGGGTACGGGTACGGCTTACGATATGTGGTCCTGCTAGGCTTAATTTGTACTCCCAAGCTCTCCTAAATGGATTTAGACAATTTATCTTTAAACCGATTCAAAGTGTCATTAAAATCGATACCGGGAGCTCCGGGGACACGATTAAGCATAGGAATTTGACTTGGTGACTTCGGTGGGTTAGGAAGAACCATGTATAACCAACGTTGTGTTTTTTTCTGAATTAAATTATAACAAAAATTGACTAGAATTGCAACAAATATGACCCTCAGACTTCAAATACACTACGTACATATCAAAGCTTGTCTTCTTTTGCACTTCTTTTCTAACACGATTACACAACTTTGCATTCAGACTCACAAAGAAGTGCTCTGATGAACTGGACTTTGCATTGAAAGAAACACACACAGAGGTACTCTAATCTAAACTAATTTAACAACCGAACATTTCCATCTTTCCATCCACACCCTTCGCAGGCTGCACCAGCAGTGGACACGACTTCTTTTGGCTCGTCACCTTGCATCCTGCCATGCCATCCCGTGTCACCGTATCTTCCTGCACGGCGGCAATGGCTTGCCGCACAGACACAGATTGTGCTCGTACGCGGCCGCACGGAACAGGTTGAACGGCCTGGCCTGCGGTATCTGCCCGCACAGCCTGTTGCCCCTAAAGCTCGCGTGCCGCACACCCGTCAGTCTCGTGAAGTTGTCCGGTATCCTCCCGACGAGCTCGTTCGTCGACAGGTCCAGCCACCGCAGGCGCACCATCTCCGCCATGGACGCAGGGATGGTGCCCCTGACGCGGTTCCTGGACACGTCCAGCCTCTCCAGGCCGCTCAGCTTGGAGATCGAGCTCGGTATCTGGCCGCCGATGGCGTTGCTCGAGATGTCAAGCCACCTGAGCCCGGCGCCGCGGGCGAAGTCAGGCAGTGCACCGGTGATCTTGTTCTTCGACACGTCCAGGTGCTCTAGCTTCTGGGCAAGAACAATCTGTGGAGTAGTAGTCCTGTTGCCGTGGCTAGCTGCTGTCGACAAGCTTCTGAACAGCTGGTCAATGTCACCGGTGAGACGGTTGTGGGAGAGGTCCATGGATACCATGGAAGGCAAGGCGTTACCAGCACCGGTGGGGAGTGGACCGGAGAGCCCGTTTCCTGACAGGTTCATGTACCACAGCTTCTGCAGGCCGAGGAGTGATGCCGGAATGGAGCCTACAAGCATGTTGCCATCCATGGCCAGAGAGTTCAGAGACCGGAGGGTGCCCATCTGCGGCGGAATATGGCCACCGAGCTTGTTATGGCTCAGCGACAGATCCGTCAGGCTGTGCAGGGTGCAGAGCGAGGCCGGTATCTCGCCGGAGAAGCTGTTGTTGCTGAGGTCCAGCAAGGCCAGGTTCCTGAACTGGCCAAGAAACCCGGGCACGGCGCCGGAGAAGAGGTTGCTGCCGAGATCAAGGTACGCCAGCCTAGACAGGTTCACGTAGCTCGGAGGCACCGCGCCGGAGAAGCGGTTCCGGGCGACGTTGATCTGCTCCAGGCCGGAGACGGCACCGAGCTCCGGCGGCAGCTGCCCGTCCAGCCGGTTGCCCGCGAGCGACAGGTACTGGAGCGACCGCAGCCCGCCGAGGCTCCCCGGGACGGGCCCGGACAGCATGTTGCCCTCAAGGTAGAGCTGCCTGAGCCGCGGCAGCCGCGACAGCGCCGCCGGGATGGCGTCCCCGATCCTGGCCATGTCGCGGACCACCAGGGACTCCAGGAACTCGAGCCCGCCGAGGGACGGCGACAGCGCGCCCTGCATGTAGTGCCGCGACTTGGGTGGCGGCGCCTCCAGCTGCAGCCCCACGACCCGCCCCGTGGCGGCGTCGCAGGTCACGCCCTCCCACGCGCCGCAGCAGTCGCTGCCCGCCCACGTCGCCAGGATGCCCGTCGTGTCCACGGACACGCCCGCCTTGAAGCCCAGCAGCGCCGCCCGGTCCGCCGGCGAGCACGGCGGGGACGGACTGTCGTCGCCGCCACGCGCCGTGCCGATCGCGGCGGCCGAGTCCGCGTACGACGGCAGGGCGGCAAGGAGGAAGGCGAGGACGCGCAGGAGCCTGGCGGAAAGCTGCATTGTTCTCGTAGCTGACGGCGCGGTTGAACACTACTGCACTAGCGCTATCATGTCACTGGCGCCGGCGATGATGTGATCGACGTGTGATCATGGATCAGAACGAAAAGCACCCGGGAGGAAGGGAAGACGACGGTGGCTTGACGTAGCGAGCACGAGTGTGTGTGTATGATGGTGCGTGCCTGGCCGTGGAGCTGCGAGTGCGGTACGTGGTCGGCGCGCGAGTATTTATAGCGCGCGACGTCGTGGCGCGGCCGCCCGAGCGCGGAGGACGAACGGGGACGGGAGCCTCGCGCGTGCATTCACTGTGTTCATGTGCAGGGGCCCGGGGCACCTCGCGGGGAGCCTAGCGAGCCAAGCAGCTCACAGTTACTGCGGCGCGACCGGCGCGTGAGCTCAGGACTTCAGGAGGGCATGGGGCTCGGCTTTCGAATTCGCCGACGTCGCCGTGGGCAACGGGCCGCCCGGTGGTTACGCGCCGCGCAGCACGGGGCGCGTGTTGGGTGTGGGCAGCGAAAGGCACTCGATGGTCGCCACGAAGAGGAGGGGGCACTCGATGTGCTGTCGTGATTAGCCGTTGCTGCCTTCAGTCGACTTTTTTTCAAAAAAAAAAAGAACCGACAGGCCGGTGTACTGATAGAGTAGATGGACACACAAAACATTGCAACACAAGAACACCACCACACAACCACAACGACAACCCAAAAAACCACCCTAACGAACCCTGCACTGGCAGCAAGGGCCACCAGACAAGCTGTAGCAACATCCATGGTGGGAAGGGGGTCCTCCAAAGCGATGCCTCCATGGAGGAAACAACATCCTCGGATGTCGCCAACACTGAACGAAAAAATCCATTCGAGGTTTTTCAACCGAAGACCCCAAGCGAAATGGAGATGGACTTCGCAACAAAGCCTCCAACGAGAAAAACGGCGTCGCCAATGTCAGCTTCACCACGAAGCAAGGCCTTAACCTGAAGCCCACCTCACTACCTCACCATAGAAGGGCCACCGCCGTCGCACCGAAGAGGCCATCGCCAAGCGAGACGCCGAGACCTGTCGCTGAGACAGCGACTGCAAAGAGCAGCTGCTAGCAGGACATCGCAACCGCAATGATCGAGCCACTGGCATGCATGGCTTGTCACTACAGCGCCGGCCAGAGGCCACTGCTGACCTGCTAGACACCAGCCTCCACATGTTTCCCCCAAGAAGCTACAAAGAATGAGGACAACCCCCCTGCCGTCGAAGACCAAAGACATTCAACGAGGCTCTAGACCACACCACCAACATTCCGAGACGGCGCATCAGAGAAGATTGCCTCAAGATGGTAGTCGCAGCCACAACGAATAAGTCACAGACACGCGTGACCGTCCACTGCAGCGCCAGTCCCGAAGGACCGTAGCCTACCAAATGTCGCCAAACTCCCTGCACATAGTCGCCCAGAAGATGAAAGCAGACCGGCCATCCGCTCCGAAGGAAATGCCCTGCCAAATCAAACCACTGTCCTCCAAAATTAGCCGTGTTGTCGTTGTCGTCGAGGAATGGCACGCGCAACGGCGACGACATGCCGAAGTCCTACACCCACCTCTCCCTCTGCGACGCCTTCACCTCACAAGCATATCAGCACCACCAACCGCCAAACCCTTGGTCGCGTCCTCGGCCTCCGCGGCCACGAGCACGAGTCCAGCCGCCTCCGTCTCGGCCATCACGTCGGAGAAGCGCCCGCATCCACCGCCGATCGTCGGATCCGGCCACCATATCGACGGATCAGGCCACCAGGCTGCCGGATTCGTCGCTGGAGACAGGTTGCACCGCCATCAGGCTTGGACCCACAGGATCCGGCCTCCCCTCACAAATCCGGCCGGGGGAGAACTGGATCACTGGCCGGAGCTCCACCACTGTCCCTAGGGCCACTAGAGAGCCAGAGCAGCGCCCATGCCGCTCCGGGAGCCCACCGCCTCGCCCCACTGCGTCGAAGCCGCGCTGCTCTGCCAAATCCCGCAACGCCGTCGGAGAAAGGCCCTGCCGCCGCCCTCCTCGTGGCCACCTGGGTCCAACCGGCTATTCCGGCGGCGGTGAGGCAGAGGGCCCCGCGGGAGGGAGGTGGCCGCAAACGGAAGTGCCGCCACCCGATGGCCGTAGCACGTCACTTCCATCCATCACAAAATAAATACATATCTCCTTTTAGGTGGAGTAAATAATTTTCAGAAAATTATAGAAAAAATATTGATATTTGTATCTCTAATATATAATTTACTATAAAAATACACTCCATGATTAATCTTAATCTAATGATAATTATTTGTTATCATAGAATATTAGTATATTTTCTAATACATTTAGTCACACTTTAGACAGGACAGAGCTAGTAGTATATAATATACTCCTTTTGTATAAAAAAAGGTGCAGGTCTCATTTTAGACGAGTCAACTAAATATATGTAAAAAAATACTATCATACCAAATAAGTATCATTAAATTAGTTATAAAATTTAATTTTATATAAATCTATTTGTAGGCATAGGTGTTAGTATATTCTTTTATAGATTTAGTGAATCCAAAAGAATTAACTTGGTTCAATCTAGAAATTGCACTATTTTTTGGATTGGAAGGAGTACACTAGTGACAGTGAATATGGAGTCAAACGATGTGCAGTTTTGCTTTACAGGCAGCTTCGGCGCCTCCGGATAACGGGGAGTTAGAGCTTCAATCATCATCACATCTCGAACATTTTCTAATATATTTAGTCAAAATTGAAAACCGTTGTGATATGTGTATTTGTTTTAGAACAGAAGGAATAGTATATAATATACTCTCCCCCATCTTGAAAAAGTGCAATTCTCATTTTTACGAGTCAACTAAGTCTATGTAGAACATACTATCGTATCAAATAAGTATCATTAGATTAACTATGAAATTTATTTTTATCTATCTATTTGGAAACATAAATATTAGTACTATTTTCTATAAATTTAGTTTGATTGAAAAAAAAAAGACCTGGTTTAATCTAGAAATTGCAATCTTTTCAGGATCGGAGTACAAGAGTGATGGTGAATAGTGATGGAGTCGTGCAGTTCCATAGGCTTTACATGCAGCTCCGAGTCTCGGGGAATACGCGCTTGAATAATCATCACGTCTCGTTACAACTTTTGCAGGATTGTGTTGCCGTTTTATGTCAAGTGCTAGACACGATTGTTCAGATCAGCTTCGTAAGCATCGTGTTCGTATTCTTGGCCTCAACTGTGACCAAGCTAGCGATGCCCTGATGCACACTCATGCTAGCTCCACTGTGTTGTGCTTGTGCTAATCCGGGAAGAAACTTTTTTTTTCTGGCCTTGCTTCACTAATACGAGGTTCTTTTGAATTGAAAACCACGCTCTGGTTTTTGGCACATAAGCATCGGATACAATGGGCCGAAAATTACATGGTCGTGTAGTGTGTATGCATTCTCAGCCCACTCCACTTGGCAGGCCTGGCCGGCTGGGCCAGCCGCGTCTGCTCTACTGTGCTTCTGGCACAGCAGGCCAATAGAGAACCCAACGCGGTTTGCCCTGCTGCCACATCAGACTTCCGGCCAACCAACCCAAGGAAAAAGCATCTTTTGCCTCTCTGATCGTCGTGGTTCGCCGCCTCAAATTTCAAACAGATGCCGGCGCCTACACTTCATTTCCCGCGCGCGCCTGCAGTCCGCGCCAGCACCAGCACGCCCTCGCCCTGCGCCAGCGTTTTCGCGCGCCCAGACGTCATCCGCGCCGCCATACCAGGCATTCTCGTGCAGCTGCAGCAGGTGACTACCATAGGTGGGTTCATACAGCATATGCGGTATCCGATCTGTTTTTAAAATATTCAGATGAAACATTTGCAACATACGCCTGTAAACAGGTGAAACACTTAAAACATGCATGTGAAACACTTGCAAAAATACTTGAAAACACTTAAAAAAGCAATTGCAAAACAAATGCAACATCCAAATAAAACACTTGCAACATATGTGTGAAACATATGCAACATCAAGATAAACACACTTGCAACATGCGTAAAAAAAACAAATGAAACATTCGAGAACGGACGCTTGCAACATAAAGTATATAGCCATTGCACACAAAATCATGATCTACTTTTACAACGGTGGGGGATATATCCCGGGTACCATAAGATGGTAGAAGATATGATTTACTATGACTCTTATAGATGTTGTAATCTAAATAGAATATCTACCATAAAGCCGACTAGGATATTTTTCTTGCAACCATACCCCTCAGAGTATATAAGGAAGGGCAGGGGTCCCAGTCGGCACCCAGATACAAATCCTGGGCTTAGCCTAGAATGATCTCATCATCTCATCTCATTGCAATCAATACAATCCAGCAGAACACATGATGTAAAGGTGTTAGATTGCATTGACGATCTGAATCTGTCTAAATCATGTGTCTCTATAGCCATCTAGTTCTTGATCACGCACACCTCCACCACACATTCTACCATCGTGGGTATACCCCTCGGTGGACTATCGACGATATCTCATTGACAGCAACATTCATACAAAACACTTGCAAAATACCTCTGAAACATTTGAAATAATTAAAACATACGCTTGCAACATTCACTTTCAGTGCAACATCTCCTTTCTGCTTATGAGAGTGGAGGCTTGTTGGCGTGTGGAGTTCACCGGAAGCAGCCGCGACATCGCCACCATCGACTAGATCGATTCCGCCTACCGCGAGGCCGACGGGGACCCCTTCATGACCACCGGTATCCTGGGCTCCATGCAAGACTGAGCCCCCACAACCTTCGCAGCTGGTGCCACAGCCGCTGCCACCACCAGATCTCTCGCCGTGAAGTGGATTTGGTGGAAGGAAGGCTGGTCAGAGGCCCAAGCATGTTGGGGTGGCCACTACGGGCATGGTCGTAAACATGATTGTCAAGGCGCGGTTGCGAGTGGGGAAGGCGGTAGCAACGAGGCAGAGTGGGGCGAGGGCGTGCGACGCGCAACACAGGTGAGCAATTG